GGAAAAGCTGTGTGCAACCACCCTATCTGAAGAGCACACTTCAGCTAGAGCAGTTCATCCTAATCAAGTAATCTTTAAAATACGTTAATATCCTGAAAGACTCAACAGAACTGTAGAAAACAGATTTTAAATGGCTAGAATACAACACAAATATAAACATCTCTTCCGACAAAAGAAAAAACTTACCAGTTGATTAAATACTGTGTCACCACCATCATCCAACCATTTGTACTCCTCATTTGTCCTTGGAACTGATTTTTGTCTCCGAGATGTCCCTTTGTTAGTGTTATCTTGAGCTGAACACCACTCAGCAAGAGTGTTCTTCTGTTTCTCTTCTAGAATGCAAAGTATTCCCCAAGAAAGTTTTAGAGTCATATTTATTATCCATTGTTTTCTACTAAAAAAGTTAGTTACAGCAGGTTTTACCAAGTTTTACCTATTCAACCTCTTTTATTTAGTCCAGAATGCTACTACCAGTCCAACATAAATGACATATTTAAGGGTACCCAAAGGGCACCACTGCAAACAAGGGCTATAAAAACAAGGTAAAACCCAACACTTTGGTGTTTAACCCCCCAAAACCTCCGTTATTCCAAACTACTGCATTCAAAGTATCTTCCTTAAGTAATCACCTTCCACACAATCTCAGACCAGATCTTTTTCCACAAATGGAATTCTGAAGACGAGTGATACAGTCCCTGCATGTAACAACTTACTTTTCTACACAAGTGGAAGAAACCTTAGAAAACACCAGGGTCCTAACTGAACTTTTCTGACTCCAGTGATCAGAGGTGAGCACTGTGATCAATATCCAGTTAGGACTGTATGTTATAACTTTGGGGTTTGCATTTTTTTTAAATTTTTCTTTAAATAATCACTGGGATCATTACTTTCAGTTGCCAAGAAAACTTCTGAAGCAGTATCTACTTAATCAACTTAAACCCAATGATGTTTAGCTCAAGAGTGTTAACACTTAAAAAAATACATCCATGCCTGAAGAAAGCAGTGAAAAATGTTACTGAAGGGAATTTAGTGCAAGATGTACAAAATCATGCCTGCTTTAATAGCTGCACTTGAATTTGCACCCAAAGGTACAGAGCATCCTATGCTTCTTTAGTATTCATGTGGGCAGAGCCCCCAGTTATATATAATTCTACAGCATAACAATTAGAAAAAAGATGACATTTATCAACTGAGTGAAAAAAGAATGCAACCACTGAATCAAAGTGATTTTTTTTCTTTAATTGCATAAACTATTTCAAAAATGTAAATATTGAGAGCTTAAAGACACTGCTGTCATCTAATCACATCTCATTTAATCTCCTGACTCTGGAATTTTAATAGAAAATAATCCTGTTAACTGTTTGTTCAATCAATGATTCTCATTGCCAACCCTTACAATTAACAAATCCACTGACCTTGCTGCTTCTTTTCTTTGTACTTCACCATCTCTTTGTTTGCATACCCAGTGCTTCGTAAAATGTCCTCCAGAAACATCTCTTTAACTTGAAAAGGTCTCCCTTGGACTAAAATAGAAAAAATCCATAAAAGATTCTATATTCACTAGCTTCACTTACAGAATTAATTCTTTTAAAAAACTACCTTCACTGGAGTTTATTTTTCTCAAAACTGTACAAAACAAAATATTTCCAAAGTCAAATGCCACCTTGTTTCTCCTCAACCTCTTCAATTTTATGAAGTGTTATAGCAGGAGATGTTCATAAGATTGACAGTTATTAACTACAATTTTTTTTGAAATGAGGAAAAGAAAACAGCCGTGTTTGTTTAGGGTTACAAACAAGAACCTGCCATGTAAGTCTGCCATCTGGATTAAAAATGGAATTAATTAATAAGCAATTAATACAGCTTTTTGCAAGGTTCCACACAGAGACAGTACATCTTTATACTGAACTACTTTCTTTTCCTGAGAAGCATGTAAGAAGGCAGCCTTATCTCCATATCCTCAACTAATTCAGCAAAGCTGAGCTTTTTTTACTGAATACTTCTTGACAGATGAGACATCCCAGTGGCCTTTACCTTCTGATAATTTATCCTGATTTCTTTTTCAACATGACTATTTTCCAGACCTTATCTGTGGACATTACAGGATGCTTTTTGCATGAAGATTAAAATCTCTACATTTTGATTTCTTGTTCCTTAACCTGACTCAGGAACACTCAGGATTTTCCTTCAGAAAGAACAATCCACAATTCACATACTTTTAGAAGCTGTGACAGAGGAAGCCTTCCAACACTGATCACAAACTCTGTGTACTACAGCGATCCACAGCTACAAAATGTGGTTTCTGTGGTCAGGATTTTGTCAGCCATATTGCTGAAGGAGACTCAAACCTTGTATATTACATTAACAGACAAAGCCGCTTCTTTTAATTCTTAAATTAACAAAAAAAAAAAAAAAAAAAAAAAAAAAGGGAAAAAAACATCTTTTGAATTGCTATTGGCCTGTTACATAACCAGCACAAACACTGTGGTAAACTGGAGAGATTGGGAGAGATTGCCATCAGATTTTCCAACACAAATTGACCGATCTGAAAGAACAGGAAGCTGCAAAAAGAGTAAACTGGAAAGTCATACAACAATCACAACTGAGGCACTCCCTTGCAAAAAAAATTCAGAGAACATGAAATCACGTGTAATTTCCAGATTCCTGTCTCCAACAAGCTGCAAACCTTATTCAACTGGGCAGAAATTCAAAACAGAGAACTAAGCACTTCCATCTGCAAAAAAAGAAAGGAAAAAAAGGTTTCCTCCTCACAAACATTTGCTAAAATAAACCAGTAAGCAATCCCATTTCCTAAAACCGTTGAGATTTTTTTTAAAAAGGCTGACATGCAGAGAGTCTACCTGATTGTCAAATAAAGCATTTCTCTTAAAAGATACTTTTCAAAACACATTAAAGTTGGACATTACTGTTGAAAAAGTAAGAGGATTGCAAGGTGCCAGAGGAGGTCACCCATGCAGAAAACCTGCAAGCCAGGAGGGTGGGGCAAAAACTGCAAACCCACAAAAACCCCCCACCTCCCACACATTTACATTTTGCCTTTACTAAAGATCAGTCAAATGAAATTAAACCAGCAAAAAATGGTAACTTTTCTTTGCATTTGAATGTAGTCTAACTGCAGGTAACTGAGTCTGAACACAAAATAAGCGAAACTGGATGTCTTTTCTGAATATTTACCTAGATGAACAACTACTAATTTTCTTTAAATCAGAGAATCATGTGATCCTTTTTTCATGTGAAACCCAATCTGTCTAAGCCTGTATTTCTGAACTGAACTGGTACAGTTATCTGTGTTTTATCCAGTAACCAGTAACAACCTTCACAAAGCCTGAAGAGTAAGATCCTACTGGAATGCATTGATACATATCACACTCATGTAGCTTCTAAGTCCTGTATCAGCATGAAGACAGAACTTCAATAACCTCTTCCTACTTCTTCAATTAAGAGTGGAGGGGGGCAGGATGTATCTGCATTTACAGAACTCCCAGTGACTAAAACACTTCACTCTGAATGAGGTGCAAATAGTCAAGAAACAAGAAACCTGCATACAGAAAGAACAAGGATTCCTGTAATTCTCAGTGTATTAATCATGTGCCTTTACTCAGAATAATTTGCTACAGTTTAGTAAGATCTGTGAGTCTCAGGGCAGGTATACTCAGACTTAAAATCAAGACTTACTATGTATTACTGGGCAGCTTCCAAAATACCTAATGAAGAGATTTGCATCTAGAGCAGCACTAGAGAGAATTAGTTTTAAATTATTCTGGTTTTGCAGCACATCTCTCAGTTTTATTAGCAAGAAGTCGCTGAACCTATCCCTCTCATGTACTTCATCCTGTAACAAAAGGGGAAAAAAAGATGAAAAACCATCACAGATTCAGGATCACAACTTCTGACAAAAACAAACTTCTCTAAAAAAAAAATACATGTTTTGGTGGCACATTACAGAGGCCTTAAAATGTGTGAGTCTAGTTTAACTAATAGGGTTTTTTTAAAAAACTATCCATAAAGAAACTAAAACACATCAAAAAGTTTTTATCAGCGCTGAGTGCGTTGCAATGCTGAAGCCATAAACACTTTAACTTCAGAGGCTAAAGTGAATATCTGAAACCTCTCTGATTGTGTATTTGAGGCCAAATTTCAAGAAAACACCACAAACTACAAATCTTATTTTAATAAATTCTCACTTCACCATTGATAAGCATTTAAAGAAATGTATGACACCACATAATCAGAAAAACAGACAAATTGCTTAGACAAGTCACACACAAAGCCTGTAAGTTAAGGCACATAACTGATTAATCATCTTTTTCATTCTTCTGTTTTGATCTATATTATGAATGAAGGAAACAAGGACTCAAAATACAAAGTTTGTAGGCTGACATCAAGAATGTATAGATCATTCTCATGCTTTTTCAACTTTGATAAACAGGCAGGCACCTAAACTTACCTTTTAATCTTCAGTACTTAAATCTTGCCAAAAACATTCCAGTTCCCCTTATTCAATTCCACAATAGGAATATTGACATAATCACAAATTAACAATCTGAATAATTTGCTAGCAATTAGACTCCACATTATCTTGAAAACTCTGGGCAAACAAATGGACTGAAAACCTGTATTGCTAAAACAAATGGTAAGAGAAATTCTGACACAATCACATTGAACCACATCAATGTAAGCCTCCCTAAGGATTTTCTCCTGACCACGGAAGTTCAGAAAAATTTACACTTCTGTCCTTCTCCACTCCTCCTGATTCCACACTTAATCATTGGCATGAAAATAAGATATTTTTACAGGAAAAACACAAACACACAGAAAAACACCAAACTGCACAAGACATGCATTCTACTCTGAGGACTCAGAAAGTCTTTAAAGTTGATTCAGATTCTACCAAACAAAAACACCTAAAGTGCTCAGCAAATTTAAATAAAACAAATGAGGACCTCATTTTCCAAAGCAATACATATTGCTCCACCCCACATGAAAGACCACAGGATGCTCACCACAATAACATGGGTCACAGTGGAGAGGGCGCTGTCTCCTGCCATCAGCGTGCCAAGAAGCATGTCATTAGTGCAGAATGTTACCAGTGTCTTTGGAGAAACCCTATGGATCACATCACAGAGACAACTCAGGGGGTTGCACCATTTAAAGCTTTCCATGGATCAAAAATTAAAGCAGCTGCTGACCAGAAGAGAAATTACAGTTCTCTCCTCAAAAGATTCATGCACACCACTTGTTTTTAAACTATGCCTTTTCACAGACATTTCCTAACAATTTGTAGTGCTTGCGCCCCAAAACTCTGGACAATGGATTAATTGAAAGAATAAGATTCAATTTTTAATAAATAAGAAGTAAAAGAGAACTGTGAAGAAACTCTGCATGTCATTCAATTTACTAGAAAATTCCATGTGGAAAACTAGGTTCCAATTCCTCAGCCTGTGCTTGGATATAGCCTTTGTATTTGTCTACACGTGGTGGGATGAGCCTGTCTGGACGCCAGGTGCCTACCCAAGCCACTCTATCTGTCCTCTCCATGGGCAGGGGAGAGGAAACACAACAAAAAGACTCCCAGGCTCCAGAGAAAGACAAGGAGAACGTG